TATATATATATATACAGGGTGATCAAAAAAAAACTTTACAACTTTTTTTCTGAATATTGTTCTGAATGCTGTAATTTGGAACAGACAAAATTCGTTGAAAAGGAATTTGTTTGATGTAAAATCCACGAAGAAGAAACATGTTTTGAAAGCGGAAACTGCCAAAAGAAAAAAAAAATACCCAAAAACGCAAAGTTCACCAATGTTTAAAAATCTTGTAAAGGAAGTCGTGAAAAGATTAGCTGACCTTTTTCTTTATTTCTCTTTGACATTAATTTTCCATCCCTGTGACATTTAAACAATATTTAAGTTCTTTTACAGTTTTAAAAACCTAATGGTTTCATTCTGAAATTCCTAGAAGCAATGGTCCACATTCCCTCCTTTGGACTCGACACATTTTTGACGCGTCGTTCGAAATGTTCAGTGGCGCCCTAACACAAGGACCTGCTAAACCATGAGTTTTTAAAGACACGTACACTGTATATGTTCACTAAGAAGTGGCTTCTAGAGACAATAGAGTGGGATGCCCAATAGACAGCATTTTTTGAGTTACCATATCACGCAGGGTGAGAATGGGCTTTGAACTGAACCAAATGTCATCGAGGAAATGATCCCTCTTCACAAGACAATCGAGGAATCATGAACACATTGCCAGGCTCTGATCCATGTCATCTCGGCCTAGCGAAGATTAACATGGTATAGTCGTAGGTTAAGATCTGCCATGAGAAAGCAGACTATTGATTTGTAGGAAAGTCCTAGCTACAGATCGTCTACGGACAGACGTCTCATGGGACTCAGCGACTGAAATCTGCACTCTGGTGACGTTAAAAGGGCTGCACATGGTGCGTGTTCGACCTGAAAAAACATTTTAGTTCTGATTCGCTATAGATCCAAACTGACGAACTTCTCTACTCATGACGCCAGAAGTCTTGAGGGCACCTAAGCATTCTCTCCATGCCGTGCGCAGAACTTACGAAATGTCAGGGATGGTGAGTTTGTGGAGAGGTAATGTTCAATGCAAAAAGCTATCTGCTCTTTACTAAACGTAACCATGATCTAAGCAGGCTAAAGAAATTTTGGAAAAATAATATCTGCAGACTTCTGTTGACTTGTTAGACCGCTGTAGCTTGCAATATGGCGCGATTGTTGCAACTGTTAGTGGTAGGCCTAATGCGAACTGGTGCGTCATGCTATGAAAATGTCGACAAGGTTGAAAATGGGTAGTTTTTTAATGCGCGATACATTGTTGGCTATATATATATATAATATTAAATGAGAAGGGGAACTAGGTATATAATAGATATTATATATATATATATATATATATATATATATATATATATATAGGTAGGCTATATACATTGTGGGTCTATATAAGAGAAGGAGGAGGAGGAGGAGGATGAGGAGGAGGAGGAGGAGGAGGAGGAGGAGGAGGAGGAGGGGGAGGAGGAGGAGGAGGAGGAGGAGGAGGAGGAGGAGGAAGAAGAAGAGATTCTCTTTATATTGTACATTTCCGCGGTACACCACGAGAAATATTCAGGGCAAAAAATGCATGTATGATGTTTGGCAAGAATTATTGATTTTTAGCTTTATATCGGATTGGCTACTTCAACGTATTGGGAAAAGATCTGTCGTATTTTTGCCAAGAACCACGGCTTACTGAAATTATCAGGCCTCCTCAGCGTGCTCGTAGTCTGAAAATGTGGAGGCCAGTTTAAAACGAGGTCACAGTAGCCTACGCGAGACAATAGGACGGCAGCGCAATCAAATCACCGAAAGGGAAATCAATTAAGACTGTGCAAATATTATCTTAATTGGTGGATTTATGATAACTAGATTTCTAGATCTAGATTTCTAGATCTAGACTCTAGTTCTAGTCTCATTTCAAGTTCTAGGGGCGCTAAAAGAGCTTCACTTCCCATTGGCAATTGGCACAGAAAATAATGAGAGAAAGAAGAAGAAAGATAGCATTTTATAGGACATATCCATAGAAAACCCAATCCAAGCCCTATGCGCAAAAAAATATATACTCATTCATTACGCAAACATGCAATAATTCATTAGGCTTAAGAGTAAAAACATTGCCAAGTATGGGTAATACACACCTACATGTTAGCATGTATAGCACATAGAGTTAGAGACATAGATAGACACATGCGTTCACACACATAACAGTGTTAATATTATGAAAAAGGTTTAACTTACATTATTTATGAAGACAGCTTTAGGACTTTCTGTATAGGTTCTTTCTCAGATGATGAATTGGATATCTTGCAGAAATTGTTTAGCAAAATATTGCTCATGACAAAGCAGTTGTGTTGTCTCATCTCAAAACCATAATACTGTGAGATGTCCATAAATATTTCACTCAAAGAGTTTCTGCATACCTTGTCACACACTGACAGAAAGGCTATATAGGAACAGATGGTCCACTGACAAGCTGAGTCCCCAGGCTGAACTCTATAGGCCTCCTCTACTCAAAAAAGATGTAAACTCCCCATATTTTTCAAAGTAACAAAAACTATCCTCCTTTAGGTTTTTGTCTTTTCTTATGACATAGCCAGCAATGTAGACTAGACTGCACTTGACTTCTGTTTTGACTGAATTCTCCATGGCAATGATTCAATCAGTTCACAGACTTCTTGAGTCTGTTGAAAT